ATGCGCAGTTCATGAAGTCACTCATTTTTGGCGTTGAGGGATGGAGTGGTAGGGAACAGCCCTCTGGAGGGGCAGCGTGGAAGTGAGTTGCGTCGAGTTTGAAAGTGTACCATAACGTCCGGTCACCCACCAGCACCACCCAATCTTACAGTCACCAGAGGCGTTTAGTGAGTGGTTTCAGCTGCGATGATTTAGGCTTTAGGGTATAGATTCCAGGACGACTTCTATGCCTTCTAGGGAAGAAAAAGATGCCAAGTATTATAAAATAAATTTCAAATGAGTAGCACATCTTCGGTTAGATGATTTATGTTTCATTTAAATAGCATATTGCCTTCCTACACCAATTTCAACATGAAATTACTACTCAACAACATGTGCTATTCATGGAGTCACTCATTTATGACCCTGGGAAGGGGCGTGGAGATGAATGGCCATCCAGCACAAGGTCGTGGAAGTGAGTAGCGGTATTGAAAACTACCTGGAACGTCCAGGCGCCGAAATCAACAGCACAGCATTATTAGTCCGACAGTGCGGTCAATTGTCAATACATGTACTGTACAGTACTGTACTGAAGTTGTGCAGAGCGTGCCATACAGTAATTTTGAGGTCGAACAATTCTAGCCGATATATTTCTTACTTGATGGCTAACTTAAAAATAGACCTTATTTCAAATCTTTCTGAAAAGTTACTGTATTGTAAACCGTAAATGCAGAACTCCAATTTGAAATACACGGCAAATTTACTAAGCAGTAATGAGACTTCCCCTAACTTATACGATCAAATATTGTACAGTGGCAGGATCATATTATCCCACTCATACATAACAATGTACTGTACTTCACATTGAATCCTGTACTTTCATGACTAGAATGTCTTTTCTGAGATTCTTGAAAATTTTTCAAGAAGGGGCTCTGATATTTAGACATACTGTACTGTTTTGTACAGTAATTATTCCTCAGGCTGTGTCCATGCATCAGAATGTCTGCACACTCGATCATATTTTCCCCATTTTGCTTCAAAAGGAAAACTTTTGTTTGGCAAAAAACCACCAAAATATCAATAAAATTGTTTATTATAGTCGATAGAGAAATATCTCAACAGGACAAAAACTCACTGAATCTGCCCATACATTGCAAAGAAGAGATCCAAGCGGTTAAAATAAGCAGAATAGTTTGGTGCTGAAAATAATTCGGAAAACCCTTCAACAGGAATTAAAAGATTCAGCCTGTCTCAGAAAATAACACAACACTCATGAGATTTATTTAAACTACATGTCATGCGCAATAACACAATGTGTTCATGATACTTAGCAGAGCATAATATTTTTTTAAATATTCATTTCTCGAAAAGTTGGCAGTTATGTCCACACCATGAAACATTGTCCATTGGGGGACCCCTCTTATCTCATTTTCAAGGGAATTGAGGTTAGCTCTACTTCCTGATCAAACGCAAAGCAAGCTAAATGTAAAAAAGAAGTGACTCACAACACGACAGCATTAAAAAATGCGATGATTAGATTACCAGCAAACATTTTATTCATGAACATCCACAACTGAAACAAAATGAAGTTGTCTTATAAAAAAAAAGTACACTCAGTAAGTAGATGAAAAAGATTCAAGTTCTTCACGGACATTTCTTCTCCACTTGCGATTTCCCGCCCTCATCATACTCCTGCTTCGAGATCCACATTTGTTGGAAATTTCCGAGAGATGCAAGAATTGAGCCACCGATCCAGGAGCTAAAACGTCGTTCAGACGGCCCGCTTGCTGCCACCACTTTCAATCTCATGCTCTGAATTAAAGGAAGAACGTGATCGGTGAAAAATTTCCAGAGAATGACCAAAGATAAAAAATAAATTAAAATACTGCACGTACAGGTATCAAAATACGTCCTTTTATAAATTTAAACAAGCGGAGAAATAATTTTTACCGGTGGTGTTTTTGCTGAAAGATCCCGATTCAATCGTTCCACAAATCCCTGCAGCAAAGTGTTTCCCCCTGTGACGATGACGTTGTTGTACAGTGTCTAGAAACGAAAAATAAATTACAAATCAAGGATTATTCCCCATAAATCCCCTAAAAAATCAAAGCCTTCAAAATTTGAATTGCTCGGAAAAAAATAATTTGAAGATATTGCACAAGCGTACTGCATACAAAAGCTCGCGATAAAGCCAATGATACTGAATGGAGACTTTACAAAGAAACAAACTAGATTATCTTCATGAAACTTTTTTCCAAATAATCAATAATTCAATTTTTTCTCCCCGAATTTTCCCACATTCTTGAGTCACAGAGAAAAAAATTCGACTACGAGCCATTCGCTTTAAAATAAGCGATGTCATAAAAAAATATGACCGCGACTTTCCCCGAAATTTAAAAAAGAGAATACTTAAAAAAAAAGAATTTCAACGCACTGGCTTCAAATCGACGTCGCACATATTCGCACTCATTGACACTGTTTGCGCGACACCCATTGAACCCATTGCCGCTTCCAACCCTGTCAACGCACTGGTGTCGAAAAGAGGCTCCGCAATCCGAAACCGCTCCCCACCAAAATCCTTGTTGTACCCATTAGGGAATTCATAATGAACCATTGGCATCGTGGCAACCACATCTGGATCGTACCTGAGGAAAGCGATAGACAAAAATGGTCAAATCATTGCACCAGCTCAAGGAAAAGTCAAAATTGTTTGCGAAATTTAAAACTTATACTTTATTTGAAAGGAGTTAAATACGATGGTTTTATAACAGCGTAATATGCATCGACAATACAGTATATAGTATGCTCACCTATCATCGATTTCAGACCAATAACGAGTGATCACTTCCTGCAACTTATCTTTGAAAAATTAAAACTTTTTCGAACAATTCGAGCATTAGAAACGAGGGTTTCCTGCATTGCAGAATTGAACGGCCCGAAGAAATTGTGCTCAAAAATGATTGAATGGTAGATGAAAATAGATGAGAACGCCTAAACCGATACTGCCGAACTTCGGTGACAATTTCGGATTTTGAAGAATATACTTTCCAAAATATTTATTGCAAGTAAAAGTTTTTCTAGATATTCCTCGAATAATTTTATATTGCACAGAGCCTCATCTTCATTATGATTTTAAATAATTGTAAAAAATTTCTGAAAAGTTAATTTTTTTTATTTGACTACAGTGGTTAGTGACTTGCCAGGCATTTTATTAATCCCTAATACGTGCAACAGTTGAAAATACTCACAGTCCATCTGAAACTTGCACTACAGCAGATTGGAAATCTTGCAGCACCTCCTTCACCATGTACTCATGATACGACTGGCCAACAACTGGCAATCTCGGTTTCTTGGACCACTTTGGTGTATCATTGTCTTTCACGGCCTCCTTGCTGCCGATCATGTAAGAGGGGATGATTTCAACCTGCTGCTCTTCCAACATTTTCTTGCACTGCGACGTGATAAAATCTCCAGCCAAAGGTATTCGAACGATAGAATTTTGCAAGACATATCCATCATGAACCGGAACGGCGGAAGTCGTTGTAGCACCGCTGTCCAAAACCAACCCGGTTGAACGGCCATTGGCAAAGGCTGACAAAACGGCACTCTTGACGAGATAAAATGCAGGGGCATCGTATTTTTCAAAAGCCAATTCTATCAGCTTTTCTCGTTTGGATCTGTCGTTGTTCCACTGAAAACAAAAGGATCAGGAAGGATTTATAGCGTTACAGAATTCTCCAGCCACTTCGTGGACTTACTGGTGCTTCGGAAAACAGGACCGGATGATAACGTGACTCTGTTTGTAGATACTGAGCGTAGGCGTGGTCGAGAATCTTTTCGAAAAGGTCCCAGTTATCAATTAAACCGTCTTTCATGTAAGTCACAATTTCGGCATCTAAGATAAAATTATAAACATCCATTATTAGCACGCTTTTTTTTTAAATCAACGGAGAATTTTAAAAAATGTTCGAATTCTAATATCCTCTTCGATTAAATTTTTCTTTACCTTTTTTTGCTCTCTGATAACTTAAGTGTAAAACACGATGCATACCTGGTTTCGGAACGTGGATCCCACAAGAATCCACAAGATATTTACGTCGACTACTCTTCGATATGTTCGAAGAATCCTCTGTTTCCATTGTTTCAACACCTCCATTCTCTTTGTCACCTTCGTCAAGGTAAGTTGCGATATACGACGGTATTTCAGCCTGAAGTGAAGCGAACAGTTCTCAAGAATCTGGTTTCTAAAACCCATCATCATGATATAAAGTACAGTACTGTACAGTTTATCATTCAAAATGAGCGATTAACGGTATGGAATTGAATCGACTAAAAACAATGACTTCGTTAGGAATACAATTTCTACAAGCCGCTAAAAATTGTTTGAGAGGTTTTTGAAACTTGAATACAGCACGGCTGGTGGTTTAACGGGGTAAGTGGTTAATAAAAAATGAAAAAATAATATGCAAAAAAGCGAAACATGAGATAAAATTCATATGCCCCTGGAAAACAAAATAAATTGGGGATACGTAAAATATACATAGCTAATGTTCTCAAGAAGCGAATTATGTCATATTTCTGCGAGCGTGTATTTTTATTGAAGACCTTTCACGCAAACTTGAATCATTTTGTCAGGGAATAATACGAATACAGTAATACAAAATTTATTGGCGGGAGCATATTCGAGTTGTCGATAATTTTGGCGGATGGCGTTTCAACGGGGTTTCCAACCTTAAAATCATTAAGGAAGATTTGTTTTTCAAAATGAATTGGCCATTACTAAGGGTGACGGGATATCGGGGGGCATCTTGAGGGGATTTGACTGCAACATTGGAAGACACGTGGTAGCATTACATCCAGCAACATGACTCACCTTTGGTGAATCCTCACCAGCATAACCGGATCTTAAACTATAACTTCCAACATCGAACACAATCGCGCCGACTTCATCACCACCATACACATTCGTAGTCATGGTGCACACTTTTTAAATCTGTGAATCAATACAAACGGTAATGAAATCAGCATTCAAATTTGAAATAATCCCAGAAAAAGCTTTGCAGATAACAATAATACTCTATGAACAGTACCCGAAAGTCCTTTATAACAACACGAAGTTTGGCATCGCCACCCATAATCAGAAAGCTCCCTATTACCGAAAAGGTAGGAAGTCACAACCAGAAAAGAATACCATATCAAGTCTAGCATCAACGTTGCTTGAACTACTGTCCGACACAGGAATTTCAAATTTTCTCAGGAATACAGCCAAAAAGTTCCTCATCTCAGAGTATCTCAAGTTTCAAATTTCTGTTCGGAAAATACTTCTCTTTGTGAGCTTCAAAGAGTTCTGCCAATGCTTTGGTATAGTCGGCATGAATTTCGTCAACATCCTGACGCGTGAAATCTTCTTTCTTGACAACTTTAATCGGGCCCCCAACTGTAAGGACATCAAGAATGCACTAAATTAAAAAATAACACCACCCAGATGCAAGCTAATCTCGTGACTCAGAAGGGATTATCTATAATTCGATTAATTAGAAATTGTTCATAACCATGACATGGAATTAGAGACTTTTACAGTTGAAACTTGAAGGCTTGAGTCAAAATACCTCCCAATGTCGAATGTAAGTCCCTTTCTGAATTTCCTTAGAAACTTGCATTAAATAACCTCCCTAACTTGAAGGTTTTCCGCTTCAAAACCCCATAGCTGGAATTTCCTGGAGGCATTAGTGGCTACTATTTTATTGACACAGCAAATATAAATTCAATAAAAATGTAACTTGATGCATTTTGAAAGGAAGTGAAAGACTGATTGGGCAAATAAACCCTCGTCAGTATCCTGTCAACTCATTCAGGAAGCAATTCAAGGCCCAAAATATCAACATTTATTAAAATTTCATACCATTCTTTCTTTCTTTCCCCCAAAAAATTCTTGTTTTCCCAACTTGAAAACTTCCTGAATCGAATTTTATTCGCTGGTCCCTTGAAGTTCCACTTCAAGAGGTTTAACTGCATAAAAAGATATATTATACATGATTCGGAATCTTACCGACGACACTAATCGGTTTTCTGTGAGGAAGTAAACCGAAGGTATATTGAAAGATTCCTCGACCGTGAAATAATGGAGGAGCAAGACCAAAACGCTTGCGGAACTTCTCTTGGACCCATCTCACAATTGAACCTTCTGGATTATCAAATTGGTCATAAACCTCGGTTTCACCGAAGGAGAAAACTGGAACCAGTGAAGCCCTGCATCAACATTAAAAAAAATTGAAAAGGAAGCATAAGATTTACGATCGACAATGTGTAAATAAAAAGGAAGCAAAGTACCCTTGATCAGACAATTTATATCCCAGAAAGAGTTTCGGCAAATAAAATGCACGAAGATGCGCAAACAAAAACGAAACTCACCCATGACGAAGAGCCATTTTGATGAAGCCCTTACGAGGCTTGAGAATAATCTTAATGACGTCCGAGGGACGACAGTAAAGCGATTCAGCAGCACCACCAATCACGAGGCAAATTGCTTCACCTTTAGCACCGTATCTTCCCAATAAATGGTTTATGCTTGCTCCAGACGCAGATGCAGCACCTGATTTTGATTTTGTGCATTTTGCAGCATGAAATTCGTTCTACTGTTCAGTTCATATCAGTTAAATCCGAGTTGTTTCTAACTTGCTGGTAGAAAAAAATTTTCAATTTAAAATTAACCAGCAAAAGAAAAAAATTTAAATTTTATCAGTACTCACTGGCCATGAGAAATATGTCCCGGAATCCCGGAGATAAGAAGTTGCCATGAAGACTCAGCAACGTAGGTTTGATTCCAGGGAAAACTTTGGAAAAGTTGCAAGCCTCCGTTGCAAAACACGTGAATGCCCCAGCAGGCAGAATTCCGTGCGGATGACAGCCAAAAATATAGTTTTCGTCAGGGGATAATTCAGTCGTTTTCACCAAGGTAATAGGGAAGTAGTCCGCCATGGATTTCCAGCACCACCAATTTCGAACCCATTCACTCCTATTGAATTAAGACATTTGACTCCCGCAGATGGATCAATCCTTTGATTTATAAATCGGCAAGAAATTTCTCTATTACCAGAAAAATCATAGCCAAGATATATGTTTGTCAATGGTGGGAACGCGAATCCGCAAGTAGCTCATACTTTTTAGATTAATGCTCCGATCTTCAAAAGCAACGAAGAAAATGCGAACGCTGACACATACCTTCGACCTCCTCGGTTGCAAATGTCACGGTCAAAAAAGTAGTACGTGGCATAGGCCAATGTAATCCACCAATACGATGTGAAAAGAAGTCCGATTAAAATGGTCAACGTCATAGGAGTCAAAGCCATGAAAATCCACATCCAAATAGCTACGCCTGCTGTTTGCTTCCGCCGCTCGAAAGGTACTTCGAGCGGTGCGAATTCAAAACCGAGTACTTTCATATTTGTCTCTGAAAAGTTTGATTCCAAATAAAATTCAAAAAAATAACACGACAAAACAGAAAATAATGAGTGCAGTGACAACTTTAAGATCCTACTTCTTAAAGTAAAAGCAAACTGAAGGAAAATATGGAGACCTTCAAAATTCTTTTAAATGTCAGCGGATTTCCTTGAAGACTTCACCATTTCATCAAATGAAAGACGTGTCTACGAAAATTTCAATGCAGCAAAAAGACAATCTTCTACGACGCAAAAATCGAAATGCGTATTTAAAATATCAAAAACATGGCCGAAATTTGAGTATTTAAACATAACATTCAACTGTATACGTCGAAATGAAACGTTCCATCCGTCGAAAAAAAAAAAGCCTGTGTTCTTTGTCATGTAGGTCTTTTCATATTACGATTTTTTTAGTCTCACGTCGGAGAAGTGAGAGAGGATATTAGCACTCATGAAGAATAAACGCTTAAATTTCCCTTCCGGGCAAGGACCAATTTATCGGATTCAAACACTGATAGATTTGAAAAGGTTGAACCCCGATAACGCGGTAGAAATCACTAAGCCGGGGATTTGCGGATGCCAATGCAGCTCCTTGATCTTCTCTTGTCCTTGATGAATGAACAACAACTGGGGAGGAACTTCGTCCATCACAACATCACCATCAGCATCGTCTTTCTCGCACGCAATATCCCACAAAGCGATCTGATCGTCTTCACCACCAGACGCGAATACGGAGGGATCATTGCAGTTCCACTCGACCGTGGTAATCGGGGCTGAGTGGTGCTTGAAAGACGCTATCGGTGTAGGAGCATTTGAAGAAATCTCTCTTAAATCCCATACGTTCAAAACACCGTCGTCTCCGCCAGACACAATAAAAGGATCTACGCGATTCCAGCTGATAACGTTGGCGTCTGAAGTATGGGCTTCTGAAACTGTTATCATGCAGGCCTTGTGTGGCTGCGCTCGCACATCCCACACTCGCACACTTTTATCAACAGAACACGACGCGAAGACAGATGCTTCTGACGGGGACCATTGAATATCTTCTACCGAACCAGTGTGAGCTGAGAATGGACGCTGATCTACATTCCAGGTGTTTGCCTCATTGCTTGGTTTCCACAGGTGGATTTTGTTCCTACAATCGCCTGTCAATAGGTTTCCGGGAACTGTTGGCGACCAGTCTACAGCAAATCCTTCCGATAGATGACCGGAAAATGAAAACACAGGCGAAAATCCATCTGCACGTTCCTGCAACTCCTCTGATTCAGAATGGCCACATAGTTTCGCTTGCAGGGATGAAACATCCCAAATGAAGACAGAACCAACTTCTGACCAGGAAGCGACTAAAGTTCTTGCCCCAACACACGTTGCTCGAACCCGATTAACACATCCCTTGTGCTTCACAGATATCGCAGAGAGTGTCGATTCTTCCACTTCTTCATCGGAGGATTCATCAGAACTCTCTTCCGAATCCTCCGTTTCGTCGTCGCGCTTTTTAAGGGATTCCTCAGTTTGATGCATGTTTCCCAGCTTCAGCAACAGGAGGTTATTATCGTGCTGATGATCAGCTTGAGTTCCCGCAACGATACATGCCGACATAGGATATGTTACTCGCTTTTCTCCCATAGAATCTCTCACTATATCGAAGCTTAGGCAGGGAGATCCTAAAATAAAGGAAACTCCCAATAAGTCGACCTATTAAACCGACCTATGAAAGAATACGGTAAATACCTGCTTGTAGTTCTTCGAAGAGATAATATACGGATTTGTCACAAACCAAAACTTCTCCGTCTTTCATAGCTTTCCCCGGGAGAAAAACGGATTTCTTCTTCTCTGGAGATTCTTCATTTTCCGTCGTCTTCCTGTTCTTCTTCGTTCCTGATCGTAGGGATTCACGGGGTTCTGACGGTCCAGGTTCAGAAGCCGGACCGTCTGGGTCAGCAATGTTGATCTGTAGACTGGCTTCGTCCGCCATTGAAAATGTGTCACTTCGCGATCACTCGAACTGCACTAGAATGTTAGCTCCTGGATTTTTAGAATGATGAAACGTAAATGAGCACATCGAAGACACGTCTACCTGGAGATTACGAATGAATTCGGGTCAACTTCAGTAAAGCGATTAATTTCGAGGACAATCGAAGGTGGAACCTCAGCCTTTCTCCGTGCAGAATCTACGTGCGAGAATAACTGCACGGTCTGAATGCCACACCGGCTTCCGGTATGCTAGGGGCATCCCCGGACAACGCACTACAGCAGCTAAATTCAGAACGGGATATTTTTCTCCACAACAAAGACGTTTTAAAAAAATACATAGATGTCACTTAATATTACCCCTTGCTTCACTGCTGCTGTACTGGTGCCCGCTGTACTGTATGCATTATGTATTTATTCTCAAACGTAATGCAACGACCATATTACGATGCTGCTGAAAATCTCAGGGGACAAGAACAGATAATTAATCCATTCGATTTTTCGAAATTGAAAGAAACCCTTCTAATATAAATTAATTTACCAATCAAAAGTTGGTCTCGGTTGATATTATAAACAGCATACAGTATTTTTATTAACCCGGGTCACCGAAATCCTGTACTGTAGTGTATAATCAAAGTTAATAAATCTTCGAAGTTTATTTCGTGAAACAAATGAGACATTTCACCTGTGCTCTACTATCTAAATCTCCCGAAAGAAAGGCGATGAAAATCCTGTCTTCGCGAAGTCAAGTTGACTGAAAATTTCCATTTGAAGGTTTTGGTCAGCGCAGCGCGGAAGCGCGCGATTTCCGTTCGGGTCTAAATGCATAGCACCATGCCGCTCGCCCAGCACGAGACAGTCCGCAAACGTTCTCAAAAGGACGTTATCAACGAAGTCGAGAGCTTGTCGAAGCAGTAATGGATCTGCATGTTGGCAACCGCCAGGGATGGAGGAACAAAGCTTGCCAACCCGAAGCCTAGGATGCCGAATATCAATAGGTACCCGCTTAATATAAGCATCGCCATTCATCCAGGGAGAGTCGCCCGAATATTCGACATCCCTGACAGAGCCGGCGAATGATTTCTGGGGTGGCCATATTGTAAGAAATTCCTGGCGGTGCTGGTGCGGTTGCCGACGACGCGTATTGAAATCTTTTTGGATTTACCACTGAAGATTGAATTTGTCTTCTGTGGTGTAGGGATCATCCTGAATGCTTCTTTTGTGGTTGTGGATTTCCGTATTCTAACACGAGGTACGAATTGTGGACTTCAACGCGTGACTGAGGATTTGAAGTTTGAGGGTAAGCCATATTGGTTTTTGGAAACCTTCGTGTTTTCGGTGTGAACTGCCGGGTACCGGGTATCTCTATGATTTCCGTCAAATGTTGGAAAACTCCTAAAACCCGAAAACTTCCGTGCATTTTAGTTTTGAAAGCATAGATTGTCTTCAGAACCGTCCATTTCGAGCGAATATTTTCCAAGATAATGTGTAACTCTTAGATCGTTCGGACTTTAAATTTTTATACTGTACTACCAATACACCTGGTAGAAATCTGTTGCCGTTAGTTTTATGCTTTCGAGTGATCACACAAATTTTTCGCCTGCTGCGGACTTCCCGAAAGTCAAGTGGCTTGAGCAAGCGTTGTGATCGTAAGTGATTACCAGTGCAGGTTTGTTGGAATGGAAGGTACGCTTAAATTAAGAGGATTAAGATGTCACCACGGTTCAGAAAATTACTTCGGATGCAGTAGGAAAAAAGATGTGAGAATGCGACTTCTACGAAAATATGTTTCGGCGTTTATCGATTAACCTTTTTTCTTGCAGGAAGCGAATATTCGCAATCATGGATGGCCAAGATATGGTAACGTTGGAACTGGGAAGCAACCCGAATGCTCTCTCTTTGCGACGACCATTCGATCCTGTAGCCCACGATTTGGAAGCAACCTTTCGTTTGACAAGGTTTGCAGATTTGAAAGGAAGAGGGTGCAAGGTACCACAGGAAATACTCTTCAAATTACTTGAAGGGATCCAAGACGATGGTTCCAACGAACAAGACGCTTTTATGCAGATGGCTTTTACTCGAATCGGTGGGTTTCGTTCGTAAATTCTTGAAATCCTGGTTTCGGCCGGACGTTCAATGCATTGGCACCGTCTTTTTTCAGGCATTGGCATGGACTCTTCGGTAACACCGTTGCGTCATGGTGGATTGTATTTGGTGCAGACAACGGATTTTTTCTATCCTATCGTTGAAGATCCGTACATGATGGGTGAGTGGTCGTGTTATCAGCCGGATCAGTGCAATTGAATCTTCCGAAGTCGAATTCGTACAAAACCAGAATGCCGTGCATGCGTGAAAATATGCCTTCAATTTATTGTTCAGGTAAGATTGCCTGTGCAAATGTTTTGAGTGACCTTTACGCGATGGGGGTAGCGGAATGTGACAACATTTTGATGCTTCTGGGAGTTTCTACGAAAATGACGGAAAAGGAGAGGGACATCGTCATCCCTCTGATGATGCGTGGATTCAAGGTATGTGTTATATTCAATAATCTCGAACTATTCATTTCATAATTGATCAGATTAGGGCATGAAACGCGGGACTTGGTATTGCCTGTAAGCTTTTACGATAGTTGTTGAATTTTCTCAGGATTGTGCGTTGGAAGCTGGATCTCAGGTGACGGGGGGTCAAACAGTGATGAATCCTTGGGTAACAATTGGTGGAGTTGCCTCGTCTGTTTGCCAACCGAATGAGTTTATCGTGTGAGTTCTTTTCCACAATACAGTATCATGACGACTTCGGATGATTAAAAAAGTTCGGTGATTGCCTTCGAGGCCTGATAATGTTGCTAATAGAATTTTCATTCATGACTTATAGGCCAGATTCTGCAGTTCCTGGTGACGTTCTGGTTCTCACGAAGCCACTTGGCACACAAGTGGCTGTCAATGCCCATCAGTGGCTTGATCAGCCCGAGAGGTGGAACAGAATCAAGCTTGTTGTATCTGAAGAAGATGTGAAAAAGGCTTACATGCGTGCAATGGATTCCATGGCTCGTCTCAACAAAACTGGTTAATGAAACTTTTCATTGTTCGATTATGTATTGTAATTAAAATCTGATGTTCTACAATTTTGTTTTCCTAAATTTTCAGCTGCATTAATGATGCACAAGTACAATGCCCATGGTGCGACAGACGTGACAGGATTTGGTCTTCTTGGTCATGCGATGAACTTGGCCAAAAATCAGAAGAATGAAGTCTCCTTTGTTATTCACAATTTGCCAGTCATTGCGAAAATGGCCGCAGTTGCGAAAGCTTGTGGAAACATGTTTCAGCTACTTCAAGGGCTTTCTGCTGAAACTTCTGGTAGGCTGTCGCGACGATTTTTTAGATTGATTTCCGTCTCTTTTGTTTCTACTTCTGTGTGGAAAAATAAGGAATATCCTTGTTAAATTTTCAAACCGGAAATTTTTAGGTGGTTTGCTGATTTGTTTGCCGAGGGAGCAAGCTGCTGCATACTGCAAGGACATTGAGAAGCAAGAAGGCTACCAGTCGTGGATTATTGGCATTGTTGAGAAGGGTAACCGAACAGCCCGCATTATTGACAAGCCGCGAGTCATTGAGGTGCCAGCGAAAGAGAAGGAAGGAGAATTGTGGTGAAGCGCATGGGAACTTTCGTGTAAAGATGCAAATGTCGTGTGTGTTTTGTAAGTGAGGTCACTTCTACAGTACTGTTCTTTTGCTACAAACGTGCGACCGAGTGTTTGTACCAGGATCTGATCGTCTTGAAACTCGTTGAAATCGGCCGCGTCGGAACTTCAAAAGTGACCTTACTCACGACTTCACGATCGACCTATTTTTCACCGATTTCGTCCTCCGATTAATGCAATTTGTTGAAGTGCGTTTTTTTTTTTGACTGCTTTTGCTCTGAATGCTTCTCTTCCTGTTGAGGTGTAAGGCAGTTTTTATTTTTGCTATTTGCGTGTGAAGAAATCGGGAATGAATCATCTATTTCTTTTGTATCATTCCAAGCGTAGACTTCTGTGTTGTTCAATTTGACTTGATGGGTTTAATGGATGCCGCCGTGCACTTCTTGGTCGAGATGTGCTGAAAATGAGGAAAAGTGTCGGATCATTCATGAAATAAAAGGGTTGCCTGTCGGTACCCGGTACAAACTTTAGAATTCGTTATTTGTTGGCGCATGCACGTTGAAGAATGCATCGAAACTGGAACTGCTCAACAGCCATTGTCCCATAAAGATTACTGTTCATTGCTTTTTTGTTGACTACTGGTACCCTGTTTTTATGTTTTTTTTTTTTCAATTCCATATCCATAGTTGAGCACAGACTCCGAAGATGAATTTTGGCCAAAAATACGTGAGTTCACTTCACTGCTTTGCGAAACTTTTGGCTTACGATTATCTCTATACAAAAATAATTTTTCTTACAAATAAGTTGGGGAAACATTTTCAAAGATTTTTCAGAACTCCCTCTAAGAAACTGGAAAATTCACATTTTTAGCAAAAGAAATGTTATTTGGTACCTGAAGCATTCCCAGATTTTATATATGATCATTCTAATTACTCAGTGGAATGTAATATTTCATCCAGGTCAGCTCGCAACCCGTTAATTTTTTTATTTAAGAAAATTGTTCAAAATTAGCTGTACCAAAATGAAATATTCATAATTTGACCTATATAGAGCATGTATGTCTAGGAAAAGCATCAAATTTCAAGAAAAAATAACGTTCTTCCAAAAAAATTGATTCAATTTCTGTTTATTTTAGGTACAGTGCTGTATATACCCTTCTGAATCTGCCGCCCACACCGGCACCTCTTAATACTGCTGAACTTATATGGAGCAGGTAATTTTCTGGGGCGGTGGTTCATTTTTCCCGTGCATTGGAAGCACATGCAAATACTGTACAGTATATGCGATGATGGGAAGTGTACTGTACTCCGTGCGAAACATCATGGGTTAACTTCAGAATAGACGGTTTGTTCCAATTTCGGCTTGTGTTATTTATACTGTGTTGCCCTGCCTTGAAAATATTTAATAATTTTCATTTATTTCAGTGTCAATTGAATAAATTAATGGAAGCTGAGCTGGGGAAGTGAAACTTATGAACACACATGGAAATTACCATGGGAATATTTCCACTAATGCAAATGAAGTACTGTAGTCATGTTTAAAAAAGCAACTGTTATAAAAAATATGAGCAATATTATGAAAGGTTTCAAGTAAGAGTCCCTCCCGGTGGGGTTCTTTTAGGAAAGGAACAAATGGAAATTTTAATATCAAGAAGGGACAACATAGCGGCCCTAGCCTTCAATTTCAAATTTCCAAAAAATTACTGTAATGTGTAATGTCGTTACAGGATAAGTGTACGATATAAGTAAGAACGTTACGTAGTTACGCGTGCCAGAGTTTTGTCCGTCGCCATCCTGTCATCTACAGTGGTTAAGGAGCTCCGCCGTTTCAGGGATGAATTCAGTGTCTCGCGGATTCAGTGTGGACGGCATAAAGCCAGTGCGAGTGTTTTGCTCGGGTGGTTGTGTGAGGTGCCGTATTTCACGATTCAGTTCAGTTTCCTACGTGAGACAGCGTTACTTCACTAAATTGCGAAAAATCTTTCAGATGTCTTCCAGAAAAAGTGAAACTTCATATATTGAAGGGAAAAGCTTGAATCCATGCTGCACCATTTGCTTAGAATGCTTCGGAGTTGATGAAGATGTTTCTGTTCTGACTTGCGGACACGTGTTTCATACGCCCTGTATCTCGAGTTGGATGAAAACGTGAGGGTTCATTTTGTTGGTTGGTGAAACTTTTAGTCAGTTCATTGAGTTTTTGTAGTCGTCCGAGCTGTCCGAAGTGTCGGGCTCGATGCTTGCCGTCTAAATTACTAAGGATATTCTTCGATACTCCCGATACTGCTGCGTCAAAGTCTGGTCGATCAAGTTTCCCATCGGCGTCGCAAATGTGCGTTAAAATCAACGAATTGAAAGCCGTTGTGGATCAAAAAGATCAGCAAATAGTTCAGCTAGAAACTGCTAAGTCGAATCTACAGAAGTTGTATAAAGAAACTGAGTGAGTATTCGAAGTTTTCTTTCCCGGTTGCAAGGAATAAGAATCAATTCTTTGTTCTAGGCGCGTGTTTCTGACGGAGACCAGTTCATTGCGTAATGCACTCAAGAATTTGAAGAAAGAAAAAGAAGCTCATGAAAGCATTTACAAGATGGTTTCGGGTGCCGATCACGAATGGAAGGAGGAAATGTTCAAGTGTGCCCATGAAAATCCTCATGCTTTGATAAGTGCCATGAGGGAATTGAGAAAGTGAGTTATGCAAGTTCTTTGAGGGGAATTATCTGTATACCATAAAGTCGTAAACCAAGTTTTATAGGATAGAATTCTGTGTTAAATTTACAGTACTTGTATACTCAGAAATGCAACTCATCAACTTTTCATGCATTAATTATGATATTGTTGATTCCAGATTTTTAGTACTTGCGAGGGTTTTCGAAATGTACATCTGTACTTGTATGTAAGCCTCTTTGTTCAGAGGAGTGGCAGCTTACGTGCCAAGAGACATGACCGATAATTTCAAAAGCTCAAGATTAGTAAAAACTGTAGCAGCTGTTAACTATGAAGGCGATTAGTCAGGTTTTCTGGAAGGAAAGTACATGACAAAATAAAGTGACTGCAATTTGAGTTCGTTCCAGTGTGGAATGAGTGCCACCGAAACTAAGAAAATTTGCCTGCCTCAAGTTACTTTTTTTTTTTTCTCAGGCAGTTGTCGGAAAGTAAGAAACGCGAAATGGAAGTTTCCAAGTTGCATCTTTCTGAGAAGAAGGCGCTTTTAGCGAAAATTGAAGATTTGAAACATACAGTCATTAGGTCGAAGAAAACTGAAGATAACTTGGAATCAGTGAAGAAAGGTCTCCTGGAAGAAATCACTATGCTGAAGAATCGGCAGGGAACTTCGAAATTAAAGAAGACTATTGTTACTGGCGAATCGGGCAGATCAAATTTTGATAAGCCGAAATTCGTTGCTCCGAATGAGACCATCGATATTACTGGTTCGGATGATGATGATGCTGGATGTTCTCCTGATGCATATTTTACCCCCGCCCAACTTCGACCAGGAAGAGCAATGGACAGAAACTCGAAAAGACCGCGATATGATGGGTTTGGTGGACAGGCCAATTTTCCGCACTCTTCGGACTTCGAAGAAAATACCAGGCTGAAGAGAAGACCCGCGTTACAATCAATGGATAATTTCGTGAAGAAGGGATAATTTCTTCCTGATATAAGAACTAAAAAATTACACGAGTTCATTATGCACATCGGCTGTCTGTTTTACGGAAGGTTTGGTGAGAGATATTCCCTCAAGTCTTCGGAAAGGGTACGAAAATATTTGCGCGAATGCCTCAATGGTCCCTTTCGCAAAACACATCGACGACCAGCGTTCATAATGAACTCGGAAGTTTATCTGTTCGTATTTTTGCACCTCAATTTTTAGATTTAATTTACTGTATATAGCTCATTTCGTCAGATTCCGTTTGAACGCTGTGATAAAAGCATACTTACGCTCTAGTCAGTCTAGTGAAATGTCTTTTCCCATTTGTTGGCCGTGAACTATTTTTTCGCATAATCCTACAATTATTTCCAGGCTAAATAAATTGTTTCACTGTGCTTTCGTGATTTGCACTATTGAACTTGAGCATTATGGAACCAATGTTACTTGGGTCACCGTCTTCTCCGACATCTTCGCCGGCTTCCACCACATTGCCAAGCTTTCTTTTCGGCGATTTGCCGACGGTCGCTCCTATTCCGGTGAGTTGTTTAGTGAGTTATCGTCATAAAAGCCGAATAAAGCTGTTCCTTTTTCAAGACGTCAGTGACGCGAAGCCGTCCCGCGGACTCGCCAAGCTCAAAACATCAAGAACACCCGTGAGTACTCACCCTTCATTTTCATCAATCACCACAAGACAATTTAGAATGTAGGCATATCCACAATGAAATCCCGATTCTGTAACTTTGTTTGGAAGTGCAGTCAAACCTTGATTCAGTTCCATCATTTGCCATGGCACATTTTGTGGCGCTAAGTGACGGTGGCACTACATTTAGGGGATTGTAACCGAGGTTGGTTCAGCCGAGGATTTGTATTGCAGGCTAAAAAAAAAGCCGTCTGATTTAAATTCGCAAGAAATAATTTTTAACTCAAAGGAGCAGTTTTTATGCAGTATTTCAAGATAAGTGCTAAGATAAAACATTGCAGATTCTCACGCATTTTATGTCTAGTAAGAGAGCAGAGCGGTTCCTTAAGGTTGTTGTGAGTTCACATTTTTTATTTGGTGCCCTATCGTAGGAATCATAAATTTTCCCCAGAAAAGCTGCCACTTTATTGATAAAATTTTCAAGAAAGGAAGTTGTCATGCAAGAAGAGGAATATTTTCTACAAGGAAAATTCATAATCATAAATAAAAGTTCTTATTTATCCCGAGATTTTTTTTTAGCATGGGATTGAGATTGATTCTCAGTAATAACCTGATGATATCCTAGGAAAAGCCGTAAATTTCACTTTTTTTTCCCCCACTTTCCACACATACACAGGAAAGGAATTTTTTGTGGCACAAAGTAAGTTGGCATTATGTAGGAGTTTCCCTTTAGAACACAACAGAAAGAGATTTGTTCAATAGGAAACTGTGTGGCACTAAATTTCGGGTTGACTGTAATACACTCGTGTCTGTTTATTCAAAATGTAATTCAATTTCCCAGGTCTTTTATTGCAAGGCGTGTGAATTCGATGAGTCCAAGAGAGCAGCGGAAGGTTGGGGCACCGCCAGTGATTGATCTGGAGGAGTCTTTATCATCACCCTATGCTGTGGCGAAAAGGCGATTAGAATATACCCAGCAATTGGATGATCATTCGGGGCTCGACAGTTCTGTCAACTTCTTCAATATACGTTCGAATGGTACAGTAATTAGTATTGATGTTGAAGTGACTCCTTTTGTGTGCTGCTTTGCTGGGAATTTAACTTAACCTAACCAAACAATGAAATAATTCCTCCTGATGTCTGATTTGTAACGTTTTTTAGAGTCGAATCTACCGAGCTTGATGCAGTTCAATCTCTCCAAGTACAATTCAAATTAATGAAAAATGTCTTACTTGAAGGGTTTTTGATTTTAGGAAGTCGGGCTGATTGGTGCGTAGTATTCAAGGGCAATTCTTTCTTGATTAGAACTTCTGAATACGCATAGCTTTCCTACCTACGGAAAATCGTGCAATCCTTTGTAGAAAGCATCAAGAAAATAATAGTTATATTTATTCGGTCAGGTTTTGTATAATTTTTCTCAAAATTGATTAAACGGAAGTGTTGAATGTCTAATGTGAGATCTACCCCAAATTGAGTGATGAACTTTTAAAATGCATTGGAGTTGGTGGGATTGGCCAGGGATTCACGAGAAGTTTCATGTGGTGAGGTTTAACTGGACGAGGTCGTCCTACTGCCGAAATTCTGACTGATTAACCTAATGTAGTGTATGAAGTCATTAATGAAAATTCTGAAAATTTCATTCTTGAGTTAAATTGTCAATATAAAGCAAGGTTTGCACCTATTATGTGATTGAAGTTATGCATCAAATAAACAATAATGTGTTCTATGATGTTATAAAAAAATCATCAATAGGGTACCGTGGAGCTACGCCTCTTAGCAATGGTTTGTCCAATGGATCAACAAATTTAGGATCTCCTATACTTCGACCTGGTCCGATTGCGAGAAGTCGAATGAACGCAGATACTGAAGATGAGGGACGTTGGGTTACCGTCTTTGGTTTGCCTGATAATCCTTCAAACGTCCTTCTGTACTTTTTGTCTCTGGGAAAAGTCCTGGAACATCGAGCACCCAAAGGAGGTTCAAATTGGATGAACATCAAGTATGCTAATGCTAGTGCCGCTGAGCGCGCTGTCGCCCTCAATGGTGAACTAGTAGCTGGTTCTATGGTTGGTGTGAAGTTCTCAAATGACGCTGTGAGTAACTTTGTCAATCAATGAGTGACCTTTAAAATGCGAAAAAAATTTGTGAATATGGCCTAATTTGAACATTTTCGTCACCAAAATGCATGGAAATCTCTTTCGCAATAGTAATGTGCATATGTATGTTTCGAATTAGCAAGGTTTGAGTTGGAAATAACTTTTCAATCTTGTCAAATTTTGAAACTCAACAAAAACGTTGGGTTTTGAACATTTTTCATGCAAACTATGAACTATTTTTGCGTTCATGTATGAACTCTTGAAAAAGAACATGATATTTTTTATATTTAAAATTGAAGAAATGGCTTTAAAGAGCCGATTTGCCGAGGCTGAAAATGTTTTTATCCGGAGATATAGGTTTTCTCTTAGACCGTAATGCTAAGTTTTCACATGAGTTATCGGTCGCATCATGTTCATGCCAACCCATCAACAAAATTTCTTTGGAATGATTTTTGGTCTTTTAAGTGTTGGGCAATTTTCTCTGGCAAATTAAGCATTTTTGAAAGAAAAAAATCCTGGCAAAGGGTTTTTTTTTTTTTTTTTTTTAGACGAAAGATTTTTAAAAATCTTGAAGCTTACTCATCGTTATTGTTACTAATATTTCTAGGCTCTCAAAGAAGCATCTCTAGTTACAAGCAATGGATCGAAGTACGCTGCCGTCGAACCGTCTCGCTTCAACAAAACTGCTACGAATGGAATTCGAGATGCAGCGAAGCCTGTAGCCAATTTTCAAATCTCAGGGACTGGCAGTGAACCGCGTGGTTCAATTTCCACGTCTTCATCTTTGGTGCGTTATCAGTATTTTCTTTTTGAATCCCGACTAATGTCATTTCTTTTCTTTTTTCGCAGTTTCATGATAGACCTACTCAGCGTAACGATACAGGAATTGTACGATGGGCTATGGATTATTTCTTTGGTGTGTGACGCGATGGATAGGATTGAAACAAAGGCCGAGTGCTTAAACAAAAACTCTAGCTCATTCGCTTGCCAAAAGTTAGTGAATGTTTTTAAATCTCCAGCCTGAAATTGGACACTTCAGAAACATTTCCTTTTCTCCAGAGCGATTCAAAACTCATTGAACTTTAGTATTCCCTACTTTTTTAACCCCTGCATAATATGTGTTCTCGCATATTTGCGCATGTCAGTTTCCAAACGGGCAAAAAAATTCATGGCAACATGTTTCTTTTTCACGTTTTTAAACTGTCGAGCTTCAAAGAGAGAAGAGACCATTTTCGAATTTTCCGGCGTTGAATTCTGGCAAATCCTCGCCGTATAATTCGAATTTTTTTCGAATTTTTAGTTTTCCACTTTGGGGATTGTTATTTTGAGTGCGCGGGATGAAGATGCGCAGGGCGGGTTGGGGAGGGAGGGAGAAATTCTGTTGATCCGAATCTGTGAGAGAAAATGTGACGAGCCGAAAGGCGAACTGTTGAGGAATGATGCTGCCTTTTGTAGCCACTCCTGCAAATCCTATTTCAAAAGTTTTCCGGTTCCTGTTTATGTTTCGCGCATTGGATGGAGACATGTCCCGAGTTACTTGGGATGCTGGAGAAATGTTGAGGTATGTGCTGGTAGTTTCAGGTCAGTTGAACGATCCTTCAGTGAATGATTGTTTTGGCTTTTTAATTACCTTTGAAAGTTCCAGCGTGTACCTCGTCCTTCCCCTGCCTATCCTCGTAAATCGGAGATGGCGAATTGCTGGGATTTCAGTTTTTGTTCCGAGGAGAATTGTTTTCATGCAATGAATTCGTTCCATTCGAATCTTTCACGCATTCATTTTTTTCCTTTGATCACGAGTTAAGAACTTAGGTTATATCTCTTCTGACAGATTCGTTCGACTGATACGTACTTGAATAAGAAGGTGAATTGTTACGATTTAACCCGGGAATATATGGGTGTTAACTGTTTCGTGCGAATGAACTGTTCCTGAGTTGCGATGGTCGATTCAACTTTCGTCCCCACAAGCCTGTTCACGACCGTGGCAGTTTTCTCAACTCAAAGCCCTACCAATGCTACTCCTTGGTCGAACGAACATTTTTGCAAATGGATCCTTCACGAAGAAATCGGCACTTCCAGGTGAGAAGAAAATCTGACGGTCCAATGCAATAACGTCCTTTTTTAGATGATTTTGCCTTGATATTGAAAAGCATACTAAGTAATTTTTCATTTACTAAACTGACGAATGTTGAACCGTCCGATTGTTTGAAGCTTCATGAAATTTATCGTCTTCGCCTTTTTCTCTTCATGTTCCTATTTTCTAAAGTTTTATAATTTTTAATTTGGTTCGCAGAGTGAGAGTTTGGGACCTGATGATCCTGATTCCGAATTGCCTTTTTTTGATCTTCCTGATGGTAACTTTTCCTCGTGCAAAACTCATGCTCAGAGCGACAAGTTCTCCTATTTTCTTCGCTTTTTATGTGCTAGTAAGTATTCGCGATTATTGCTGTTTTTTTTCAAGAATACTTACGAGACTTGATTTGGTAGGTCGTCGTAAATGTTTTTGTGAGCATAGTCCGATGCGTGGTCTCTATGAGTGTGAATGCTGCTGAAGTTTTATGGGACGATGTTGACAAGGTTTTGTGGATTCTCCTACGTTTTTTCCTGCTCTCCACGGAGTTATCCGTCATCACATTTGGACTGGCTTTTGGTGAGAGGAAAAGCTTTTGTGTGGTTGAATTCGTGAATAATTGTCGGGGCAACGTTTTCATTTTATGATCGTCTTTTCACCAGAATTTTCATAAAGGATGATGAGTTCGCATTTTATTACGCAACCTTTTTATGCGTTGAATATTTCTTACAGGGCATCTCGACAGCCGAACTTCAATCAGAAGGGTTCTGTTGGTAACATCCTTCGTTTCTTTGGCGTTTTCCACGTGCCAAGGTGCCTTGGAGTTTCTCAGTCCTGACCCTCATTTTTTCATCGAGAACGAGAAATATGACTTATTTGGTCATGGTGGAATGATGTTCTGGTGTATTTCGAGTCTTCTTTTTTCCTTGGTGAGCTTCTTTATTTGAATCACATTTTTAGATGCATTTTCTAGAGATATATCAAGTACGTTATTCCGAATGTGTTCGGGTATTCTGGTCTTTCAGGGTACAGTTTAGACATGGTTTTCACTTAGAAGAATTAAAATGTGTTTTGAAATACAAATCGGAATCGCGTTTAATACAGTATTTCCAGTTTTTTCGTACGTGTTCAGTTGTGGATTTTTGAATTTTTAAACGGGTTTTTCTCTGTTTTCCAGGTGTATTTTGCCATCTTCATAGTACCAAAAACCGCGCTGAGAACGAAGCTTCCACCTTTGCCGAGTAAGACTTTTTTCCACTAAAATTTTTTTTAGCGTTGATCTGAGAAATTCTTGTTGAATAGCAAAACGTTCTTTCTACGGATACGTTCTGAGCTTGGCTATGCTCAACTTGTGCCAGAGCTTGGGTTCACTGTTCGTACTTTCCTCAAGCGTTTTTGTCTTGGAAACTGCCGGACTGTGTGTGGTGGATATCACGACGTACTTGTATTTCATCCTTCTTACGCCGTTGGTGTATCGCACTTTCCTGAAGGATATTTTTGCGTGAGTTAAAAAAAAAAATTAAGTTGTGATTCAATGGCAGTAGAAGCTGGTTTTTCGATGACGACCTGCGAAGGCTCGGAACCATTTGTCAGAAAATATATCGTTTGTCAGAATGTTCGATGTTATCGCATCATCTCATCCTAGGTCACCACAACCGGGAATCATGTTTTCTTATAAGCCGTACTTGGATGATCATGCGTCTGATTTGGAAAGTCATGCCTCAGTCCACATGCCGCATTCATTTTCTACGTTGAGCAGCAGTGTGAGATCCCCTTCGATTGATGTGCCTGATGCTGTGAGTCAAGAATTGTACCTATCTATACAAACATGTTCAAACTGGACCATTTTCTCTCCAGGAAGTTATGAACTGGCCTGATCAAACCCAGATGAATCAGATGCAAACTCCAGGAAGTATTAATCCTTTGTATGGAGCTCAGTCGACTAATGTGAGGATTAATCCGGGACCTTTTGTTGGGGCGTCTTTGTTTGCGTCGGTCGGGAGCAGTCAAGAATCCCCTTCAGAAAATTTCGTTACTGCCTCCCTTTCAAAACCAGTTTGACAAACCCTGAGTTCGTTGTGGAGAATTGCGTAGTATGGAATCCTGCGAAAGCACTTCGTTGCTGCGAAAATTGACCTGACCTGTTGGGGATTTGTTCCTATTTTCCGTATTCGCGATTAAATCTTGCAATCATATACACTTGAGCGATCTTTATTTCAGTCATCAGCTATCCTTGGAAAAAATGTCAAAATCAACGTGGATTCACTAATCATAGTGATTTGTAACAAATGTGAGAGCAGTCTTTTTCGGATTATGCGAAGACTGCGGACGTGAAATTTTGTACTTTTCACCAAATTTTTATAGGACTGTGCGTTAACTGTCATGGAGCAGTTGTGATCGGAAATATGATTTGTTTGCATGGAAATTTCCATCGCTTTGTTTGAAAAATGTCCCGTGAAATTCTTAGCTGTATTTGGACACGATGGTACTTCTGTTACCAATATTTCATGGAAATCGTTTTCTGTTTTTAATTCTCTTCAGTCATTTAGATTGGCAAAATCTGTGTTGGAATAATGGAATCATCGTATGCTTGTCTACCGCGAGTGTTTCGAAGTTCTGAGTGGATCAAAAAAGTTGAGGTTTTGGTGCAAACCAGTTTCTGTTGAATTTTTTGCTGCATTTTATTGAGGAAATGCTTTTTAAATTTTTTATTTGTCCAAGCTTTTGAGAATACGTGTGTCTCGTGTGCGGAATACGGTGCGTTTTTGATTTCAAAAATTATCACCTCTGCTGCCTAGTTGATGGATTAAAGAATTTTTCCAAAATTTCTTTTTGTATTGGATGTTATTATCCGATTTATAATAACTTCGATTTTGAAAATTTTTGTTCATTTACAGGTGTTGCGTGCCGCATTATGTTTGCAAATAAAAAAAAGAAAAAGCTTTTCTGTGACAAGGAAGAGGCAGACCCTTCGTCTGAATTTCAAATCAACGAAGATTATGCCGGGAAGTACGACTCGTGGCGCAAAGCGGAAGAAAAGCAGAAATTACTTGCCCGTTACGGAGACACCAATGTCGGGAGAAAGAAATCCGGAGAATTGGACGATGCTGTCGACGATTTTGAAGATTCTGACGAATCTGAGTCAGAGCAGGAAGAATACGACGAGCCAGAAGCGGACAAAGCGTTTTTGAGAGCTCTATCAGCACTGAAATCGAAAGACCCTCGTATATATGATGCGAATGTGAAATTTGTCGCTGAACCAGGACCCTCTGATACTGACAATACAACGAAGCAGAAAACGAAGAAGCCCATGTTTTTGAAGTAAGTGATCATTCAACTTCCCCTGTAATGAAAGATAATACGTCAGAATCAATGACAAAATTGCTGCGTACGAAACTAGTCCCACATTAAACTTGTTTATTCTCTTCGCTAGGGACTACGAGCGACATATAATAACTGAAAAGGGTGGCCATTACTCAGATGAAGATGAGGAAGACGACGAAGACGCCAAGTTCAAGAGGTTCGAAGCGAAGCGAGGCAAAACGTACGTGGAGGAACAAGCCCAGCTGAAAAAAGGTCTCCAGAAGTTTGTTGAAGATTCCGACGAGGACGAGGAAGGGTCCCTCTTGAAAGTGCGTTCAGCCTATGTTCATCTTTGAGTTTATAATTTTCCTAGCATGCGTGTTTGTTGCTTTTAGGTTCGCGAGAAAACAAAGCAAGAGAAAGAGGAAGAGGACGCAGACTACCGAAGATGGTTGAAAGATAATGTAGACGTGGAGCTAGAAGATGAAAGTCTTGCCAAGGATTTATCAGGTCTCAGAAATTATTGGTCGAGAAACGATATTCCTGAGGACGAGAAATTTCTCAAGGACTACATCCTGAACCAGAGATATAAAGATGCTGACGATGATGATGCGGAATTTCCGACCTACGAAGAAATCGTAAACGATCCAGTTTCACTTTCCGACGATGAAGAACAGATCGAAGGCATGACGAAGTTCGAACGAAAGTTCAACTTCAGGTAATAACCCCAAATCTGTGGATCAATGTTTGATGAAAACGTCATGCAAGCATTCAATTTTTGAGAAAAATCAATTTCGATTCATGTTTCTCATCTTTTATTCAGGTTCGAAGAGCCGGATGAAGATTTTATCAAAAGTTATCCGCGAACTGTGGGTAATACAGTTCGTAAGAAAGACACTCGTAGGCGCGATAAACGCGAGGAAGTGAAGTCAAGAAAAGAACGAGAAAAGGCGGAGAAACGAGAAGAACTAAATCGACTCAAGGAATTGAAAAGGGAAGAAATAATGGAACGTCTTTCCAAGATCAAGGAAGTCTCTGGGAATGACCAACTCGCCCTCGAAGATCAGTATCTTGAGGAAGATTTTGATCCTGATGAACACGACAGACAAATGGCAAATGCGTATGGTGACGATTATTACAAACATGAAGGAGATGTTGTGGGCGATGAAGACGACGACGATGATGATAAACCTGTGTTTGAGTACGATGAAGAAATCGATGGTGTGTACTTGAATATTTCATTTTACGTTTTTTTTTAATAATTAATTTTCCACGTGATTAACTTCTTATCCTGAATTTTAAGAGCTTCAAATTCTTGTCCCGTGAACCTGAATTTCCTTATGATCTCGAGTTCAATTCTGATCACTTCCACGTGCAAATAGGTGATATTCCGGATTGGGATAAGTGGGATCCGAAGAATGACGATAGCACAAATGGAACTGCGGATGCCACCGAACAGGATGAAAAAACCAATCGAAAAAAAAAGTCCAAAGTTTCTTCCGAAGAGCACCATTACGAGGTAAATTATTTTCCGAGTTGAATCACACCTGTGTTGATTTCTCGAATCCATTCGTATTACAGACTAATTACGGTATACTCATTTCTAAGGGTTCCGAAAATTTCATCATGGATTGTGACTATGACCCAACTTCAGAGGCTCATCAAGCAGCGTTGAAAGCAAACAGAAAAAAGGGAAAGAGAAAGAAGAAATCTCTGTTCTCAAAAGCTGTGGAAAGACCGAAGCCAATGTTTGATCCAGTCGAGATGCAGTTCGAAGAATATTTTGATGAATATTATCAATTGGATTTTGAAGATTTGATTGGTGATTTGCCAACGAGGTAATATTCTGAACATTATTGTAGTTCACTCATGTATACTCTTGGTGGATCAAAAAATCCTTTCGATCTTGCAATGTGAAAGACATTTTCGTAATTTTCAGATTCAAGTATCGGAAAGTGGTTCCGAATGATTTTGGATTATCAACAGAAGAAATTTTAACGGCTGAAGACAAGGAGCTGAATCGATGGTCGTCTTTGAAGAAATCGCTTCAATATCGTCGTGATGAAGAGGAGAGATTCGATTTGAACGCGTACCGTAGTCGAGCCGAAAACGTGAAACTCAAACAAAAACTATTGCCGTCTCTATTTGAACATCCTGAACCAGCTGAGAAACCAGGATCGTCAAAAAAGAATAAGAAAAAAGAATCGAATTCAGTGTCAGGTGAAGAAGACATGAGCAATGTCGAAACTGCAACAGAATCCGTTTCGAAGAAGAAAAAGAAGAAACGTAAATCTCACGTGGAAGAGACGTATCATGAAGATGATGACGTCAAAATTCCGTCAGAAAGTCAAGAGCTTGAGGAACCGGAAGTGCCATCATTTAGTAATGAAGTGTCTCCGAAGAAAATTAAAAAGAAAAAGAAGAAGACCCAGGAATCCCACGAAGAAAATGCAAATTTTGACAAACCTGGTCCTTCATCTGCGAAGTCTGATGAGAAAGGAAGCAAAAAACGACCGAATTACAATATTGACAAGCGCGATTCAAGTGCTCCCAAGAAACGGAAAAGCACGCACGGTGTTCCTACCAAATTTGAAAAGCCTGGTTTCAAAGCGAAGGCTCCATTAGTCAACACTCACCCATCAATTTCTGATGACCGATTAAAGGCATTTGGACTTAATCCGAGAAAAATTCGCGATAAGTTCAAATATGGTTTGAAAGCGGATGCTTGAACGGGATTGCTGTGCGGATTATTGGAAATTCCGAAATGCATGTAATGCTTTTTAGGCATTGGTAAAACGTTGCATTTTTCAACCCATTTTTGGCCTACATAATTATTTTTTATTACTGTACAGTATTGGATATAATGCAAGCAGAGCTTTCGAATTTGTTTCGTTAAAAATATTTTATCTTCATCATTGGCGTATTCACCTTATAACGAATTTCCTTTGTTCTTTGCTCATACGATCATTCATAATGTTGAATTTTGTATTCGGTTTCCTTTTTCTGTTCGTAAATTCCGTTGTAGAAACAATAATTTATTCGGCACGATTGCTCACCGATTTATCGTCGTTAATATTTTCTTCGTATTCTCTGTTGGCGCCTTTTACAGTTTCGATTCTTCTTTTCGCTGCGAAAATGGCGGACGTTCGTAGTTCGTTCGGTGGAAAGACTGTTCTAGTCACTGGAGCTGGACAAGGTTGAATTGCATTTAAATTTAAATTTTCCAACCCATTGACTTGATGTGACCCGGGTTCCCGTTTAGGTATCGGAAGGGCCGTGTGTAAGAAACTGGTGGATTCGGGAGCCCATGTCTTGGCTTTATCAAGAACGGCTGATCCACACCTGAACTCATTGGCTGCAGAATGTGCCGAATTATCGGGAAAGATCGAAACTTATGAAATCGATTTGTCTAATTGGGATGCCACGAGAGATCTCGTTGAGAAACTTGCGCCCCGGGTGGATTGCTTGGTGAACAATGCTGGTCGATCTTTATTGGAATCATTCCTTGAAATGAAGCCCGAAAGTTTCGACATGATCATGGAAGTCAATGTGAAGGTGTGTATTTAAATTTGAAATTCTCGAGGTGTAGTTGGACCGGATCACTCGAACCTCCCCAAGTTGAATACCTCTGTATGTCACATTTTTTAAAGTTTGAATTCCCTTTTCAAAAGTGCATTATAAACCTGCCGAACTTGAAGGCTTCCTCCCTCAAACCTTCATGAGTTAAATTTTCTGGGTCTATTATTATATTGACACATGAAAGGGAAAGCAGTGAATGTTAACTTGATGTTCTTCCACAGGAAGTAAAAGACTGTTCATCCAAATAAACCCTCGTCTCAAAGATTAGTATCCTGTCAACTAATTCAAAAATCAATTCAAATCACAGAATATCACATTTCCCTGTAATTCATCTTTCTTTCTCCCGACGAAATGCCTGTCTCCTCAACTCGAAACCTCCCGAAGCCAAATTTTTATAGGCTGGCTGTTGAAATAAGATTCGAAGAGGCCCGCACGTATGTGGAGTTTTTGCTACAATTATTTTAAAATAAAATCCGGAATATGTCGCATGCAACCCATGGACGTTCGAATTTTTAGGAGCAGACCCCGTATTTTTTTGCATATTTTACTGTACCTGTATTTACCGGAGGAATTTTTAAATCGATGAGTTATAATTGAGTGCCATATTGATAAATACTGTATATTGGAATGGTTCCTTTCACAGCACGGTAGTTGTATGTGCATTTTTTCTAGGCCGTCATCAATGTATCCCAGGTAGTATGTAAAGCGATGATAAATCGTGGGCACAACGGATCAGTGGTCAATGTTAGCTCCATTGCATCAACACTTGCTGTAAAGGATCATACTGCATATTGCGCCTCGAAAGGTGCATTGGATACAGTGACCAAAGTGATGGCTTTAGAACTTGGCCCAAATAAGGTGAGACCGTTTTGCTGGATATTTTCAGCAATTATTTTGAATTAGTTTTTCAGAGCCTGATTTTTTTCGTGATAGCTACTCAGTAAAAGGTAACGATCAGATAAAATAAAAAAGATCACAATATTGACAGTATAGAACTCAAAATAATTCAGGGAAGACTTATGAAAAGCTAAGCAATTTTTCACAACTTCTGATGAAGTTCGTCGTAACATTGCGTTGATTTGTCCTCTCTTCAAGAAAACAGAATATCATGATGAAATATGGCCACGGAAATGTATCTTCGATTCTTATACGAAATAGATTCGAGTAAATGCCGTCAATCCAACTGTGGTTCTGACCCCCATGGGCCTGTACGCTTGGAGTGACCCGAAAAAGGCTGATCCTATGATCGCGAGGATTCCTTTGGGAAAATTTATCGGTATAATTCTTCATTTGGAAAACCGAAAATCATCGGCGTTTCATGAGTTTCTGTTCAATAGGTGAAGAAGATGTCGTGAACGCGATTTTGTTCTTGCTGTCGGACCAGAATGGGATGATACATGGTGCTTGTTTGCCAATCGATGGGGGATTGAGCTGCTGGTGAAAACGTTCGTGTTTTTTGCAGTCGTCATTCCTTTTTTTTTTGCATAGTCACAGTTATTTGGTGCTGATTTTCCCAGGCTGACAGAGTTATTTAGATTTCAGATGTGTTCTATTGAAAGATTTTTGGTTTGATCTAATATTTTTACAACGCTACTTATTGATCACGTGGTGCTATTTTTGTTCTTGTTTTATTTATTTGGCGAATAAGAATAATATTTTGATGGGGAGAAATGTGTGGTATTTCTTTCGGATTACCGTCGTGTTTTTCTTTCGGCTTTAATAATTCGTTACTTTATTGAAAAGAGGTATTTTTTTGAAGGAGGGATTGCAATGCCGCGTGCAGGCCTAAGACCACGAGTGAAAAAAGACCATGATTCAGAAAACGCGTTTTGTATTGAAAAAGCAGAAAAGGTGCCTGTATCTAGAAAGGCCCCGACAAAAACAGGTTGGTTGATGAATTAATTTTAACGGAATTTTCTCCACACTTGAATTATTTGAACATTTCCAGTTCGGAAGCGTGGCAAAGAGAAAGCATGCCTTGTTGAGGAAAGCAATGCAGTCGTTAAAGTCTTGAAATTGTCGAATTCTGAAATAAAAGAAGAAGTCGATGCTCGACGAGTCGGAGTTGTGAAAGCTGAGGTGCATTTGCAGAGTATCACGATGAACGGGGATCGATGTTCAACTGGTCTCAAATTCATGGGTGCCCATGTTTCTGCTGCTGGTCAGTTACTTTTTGTACGTTTATTTTTCAAGGTTACGGCTTGAATTGGTTGTATGTTGACCTTGAAGTTTTTCTTTACCTCAAGCACGAAATCCAATTAACTTCTGCGTTCGTCTTGTCCTTTTAAAAATATCTTCCGATTGTTTCGCAGGCGCCATTATAAATTCATTTTGTATCTAAGGAATTTATTCTTCGAAGCGATAAAGTTATCAAAGAAACATGTCCGTTCAAATCATTTTCTCATTCAATTTACTAGGAAGCATAGACACCGCTGTCGAGAATGCTGTGAAAATTGGCGCCAAAAGTTTTGCGATGTTTCTGGCTTCTCAACGCCAATGGGCTCGGAAACCTTTGGATGACCTCGTTGCAGAAAAATTTCGTCAAGCCTTGAAAGTGATGAGTTTTTAAATTTTATTTGAAGGACAAGGAAACGTGTGTTAATGCTTTTGATCGTTCTTGCAGAATTCAGGAATTCTGCCCCATTTGGTTTTGCCTCATGGCTCATATTTGATGAATTTGGGTTCACCAAAACCAGAAATTTTACAGAAAAGCCGCGATTTGCTGGTCGATGAGCTACAACGTTGTGAAAAGCTGGGTATCACTCAGTTCAACTTACATCCAGGTGTGTTGAAAGTTTATCACTGCAGTTTCCGCTCAAGTATGACGCATTTAGTTCTTTCGTATCATCGTACGATTCCTCGGCAAAAGTTTAAGTTAGTCCTTGATTTTTAAAATCCTTTAGTGAATTAGCAGCTGAAAAAAGCGCACTATAAAGATTGAAAATTTATTCTTTCAGAACTGCATTCATTACGTCTAATAAGGAACTTAAAGTTGCTGCCAGGTTTTCGTAATATTTTTTGTGTTCGATTTTCAAGGCTCTACTTGCGGAATAATCACTCGAGATGAATGCATCGAAATGATTGCGGATGGAATCAATGCAGCGCTGGAACGGACCAAGTTCGTCGTTGTACTTCTGGAAAATATGAGCAGACAGGTAAAAATCCACATCCTTTACTTTTTTCGGCTAATTCCAATGCAAGGATTTCCTTTTTCAATTCAGGGTTATACGATAGGCGGCGATTTCTCTGAACTCAGAGACATAATTGCTCTAATCAAAGACAAAACTCGTATCGGAGTTTGTTTTGACACCTGTCACGCCTTTGCCGCAGGTAAGATTTCCTTGTGCTTTGTTTAAATTCTTTATGACGAATGTGCTTTTTATACTCAGGATATGATGTTAGAACCGAAGACGACTGGAGGAAAACGTTGAAAACGTTTGATGAAATCGTAGGTCTGCAGTACTTAAGGGCGATTCACGTCAATGATTCAAAAGGTGATGCATTCATGGTGAAACGTCGTCGATGCAGTTTAAAAAAATATTAATTACATTTTTAAACAATTTTGCGTTTTTTTTATTGAAGGTGATCTTGGTTGCCGGAAGGATCGTCATGAAAATATTGGCAAAGGTAAAATTGGGATGAATGGCTTTATCTCGATGATGAATCTTCCGGAATTGAATGACATCCCTCTGATTCTCGAAACCCCGTGGGAAAGTGACGAAACCTACGCTAGGGAGATTAAGTTGTTAAATTCGCATATTGCTTGAGGTGAGTTTTTTTTCCTGGCATTTATTTATTTATTTATTTTTCCTTCGTTTTCGGAGTTGTAACTGTCCGAGAGCAAAACGTTGTAGGCAACTTGACCGAAGTTTTCCGTATTCCCTGGCAGTGATGCGCCGTAAATCAATCATATGGTACCCGTTTTACACAAATTGTCGCACCGCGGACCCGCAATTTCTTCGCGGAATTTCCCAGTTTGTAACGGAAGAGTATCACGTTTCCTGATGCCCGAGGGAAGAAAAGTGTTCCTCGCGTCACTTGATCATCGGGAGTTTTCATTGAACGACAAAGTCTTTCATTTCCACTGAGTTGGGAAATTTTGATCCATGAATGGTTCTGAGGGTGGGTCATTCTTTTCGTGTCAGGTTTCGCTCGTTCGTCTGAAGGAATTTTTATTGAGTATCGAATCCTATGGTTTTGTTCAAATCCTGTCCTAATAGAAGAAACGTTTGCTTCGAGATTACTGTGATGAGTTTCATTCACTATTTTGGGTTCTCTGGAATCCGATAATCCTCGATGTAGCTGCGTGATCAAGATATTTTGCAGAGGGAGAAAACAACGAATATGATTACAATATTTACAATTCTTTCGTTCTCCATGACATGTTTTCATAAGGAATTAACGGGGAAAATTAATCCTGTCCGAACCAGAAATTGTAAAGGAGGCCTCAAAATGCAGAAAACCAAATCAAAGGATCAAGGCTGAATAAATCACTGAAGATAAACCTTTAAAAAATGAACAATAGAGCAAAGAACATAACAAAAGCGGCGATCCCCATTTTTGTGCACCTCCAAATGCGTGAAGGCAGCGAAGACAATTTGAGTTCAAGTAGTTCACAATTTGGATGTTACATTCGAACTTCTTTTTGGTCAATGATCCTGCAATAATAGAGATTAGTTTTGAGTGAGAGAAATACGAATTTTTGTTGGCAGAACGGAAGAATAAATGCAGGAAGTTTCAATTGGTGATCTTCTGGGCCTTCAATTACATGTGAATGAGTTGGATGCCGAACTTGAAGGTAAGGATTCACTTGTCAAATTAATCTTAAACTTGCTTTCAAAGCATATCAAAGTATATTTTTGCTTTTATCTTTCTTGTTGCAAAAAACAGCCAAATTACTTCCAGAAAATTCGAGTTTTCGAGGATGAAGGGGGAATACTTGAAAAAAAAAAAAAACTCGACAAAATGAGGCTTGAGTCATGGAAGTCCAACTGTATAAGATTATAATGGGACGTTCGTTGAGTACACACTATCACTGCATTCACCGCATTGGATTCTGCGTTTTCAGGAATTCCTGGATTTTTTGAAGGATGATGTACAGTAATTGGTAAAATCTCACAACCAAGTTGGGGCACATGCGCGACCGTTCGGAGTTCGACTGCTCATTTGTTTTCCCACGGGAGGAGGAACTTGATCGTTTTTGTGGGAAATACTACATGATGCTGCTGTCAATTACCTTGTTTGTGCACATAACGGCTGTCAGCCAGGTCGTGGTTTTCTTTCCGTGTCGCGAGGGAAACTGGAAGTCTCTGCAGTGTGTCACGGTCTGGTTATCCCGGGCCCGGGTTGTAAACGAGCCATCTTATGCGCGGTGCGCGGGTTGCTGCGAAAGTCCTTGGCTTTCGCGAAAAGAAGAGGTTGCTTCCGAAAAGTTGGCTTAGTGAGACAGTGAGAGTTGAATGCATTTTAATCTACTGGATTTTTCTGTTATTTTTTCGCAGTAATGTTTTTCTATGCAGTAAAGTAATTACTGTATTTCTTTCCCTGGACCATTTCAATACCACCATATCTTCTCAGCTTTACAACTGTGAATACAGTGTGTCTGGAAACTGATTTTTTTGTGTGAAAAATGTGTGAGTGAGGTCCAAGCTTTTTTTATTGCTTGTCAGCATTCACAAGAGTCACACAATTTTCCCACATCCCCCGCCCAACACATATACTGTATTAGACTTATTCTGACGTTTCAAAAATAATACTTTGCATAGTTATGTGCAGAAAATAATTCACAGTGCTTAGGATTGCAACAAAATCGCCATTTTTCATGGATGATAAACAACACAGCACAGGGAAACTAATGAGCCTGAATTAAAACAAAAGATGTTCAGTCTGTTCCCAGGTATTTTTTTTAGCTGAGTAAATAATTTGAAAATAATTTTTGAAGATGAACCATATAAAGGTAACGCCCTTTATTGTGGTACATCTTCTAAGATTTGGTGGAGTACCTTTTTTTATTGAAGTATGTGATCCCTAAGTCTTTTGGTAGTTCAAAAAGACTACTTGAAATGTGTTATCTATCCACAAAAAATATCTACTGTGCAGGTCTGTGGTATGAAAAAAAAACCTTGAATAATATACTCGATTTCTTTTACTGCCTAGTGACGTTCTGGACGGCATGTATTTATTGTGTCCTGTTAATTTAAACTGATGTTCTCACTGTTCTTGATTTTTTTGAACTTATGATATTGTATTGTGTCTATAAATGCTTTTTGAACCTACCACGAATCCTTGATTTTAGTGCAGTTGGCTGAAAAATGTGCGATTGTTGGATACAATGATAATTTTTTAAATGGAGCTTTCGCCCTTGGCAAGAAATTGTGGAATTTTCTTGCTGAATTGTACATGAATTGCAAGCATGATTTTGAACATGGACTTTTAAAAATTTTACTTTCTGTAATTTTTTTTCTTCTTGAAAAAGCGAGTGTTTTAGGAGATGGATTAATTATCGAAGAAGCTAAGCGGGTAAAATATATCGACAGAATTTTTACTCCGCGTGCCTCTTCTTGAAAAGAATCCCCCGAAATTCATGGATATTCTCCACCACGTTTCAATTGTGAAGAAACAGGTTTTTTTTTGTGTGCCCTTTTCTCCTCCCTGTAATATAGCTAACCGAGAATTTGTGCAATGCCCTTCGTGCGCATTTGCCCACTCGCCTTCCAGGATTTGCCGACTTGTGCCTCTGGCACTTGGGCTTAACGGGCTCTAGTTGCCCGTGAGCTTCGGCGGGCCAACTTCCCTCCGTGTGCGCTTTCAGCAGTGGAATCTGGTTCTTTCATTTCGGTGGTTTTTGGCCTTCGTGTTTTTAATGAGAGAAGAGTCGATAGGATCAAATTTTAATGCAGTCAGTTCTTGATTTAGTGCCCACTGATCAAGTGCCACCCTTGCATATAGTGTCACAAATTTCCCCTGAATAAATCTCCCTCCATTTTGTTGCTAAGGGAAACCCAAGTTAGTGCCACACGGATTTCCTTGACCTGAATTAAAAATGGGTCCAAGTCAAAGGAATTAAGGTCTTTTTTCTAGGGGTATCATTTGTTCTTAACTGAGAAGCACATGCCTATGCTCAGTGACATTTTAAAAATTCTAGCACTGAATTTACGTGCATGGTATTATTTGGATGTCTTCCTCAGTGAAGGTAATAACCTTAACTGGGATAGTCTAATTCAAAAAATTAAAAACCACTTCACCTGACCTTGGAATTGTATACTTTCATTGAAAGGTTGATTTATTATATTTGCAAGATCACTATCCGTCAGAGTCTGGAAAAATATTTGCTGGCGAATCAAAGATTACAAATATTGCTATAAAATATGCCGGAAACTCGGGATGAATCATTTAGAGTTGTTGACAATTTGACTGTTGAAAATAACGGTATTGATGAATAAAAAGTTGGTACAAGTTTTTGTTCGAATTTATAGTTTTGTTGTTGTGTGCGTTCCTTTTTTCAGCTTAGATTGTTTTTAAAGTTATAAGTGGTAAAACGTAATCGATGCATTGATGTACAGTATTATTGTGATTTGTTTTTTGAAATACATTTCCAATTTTCGGACTGCCTCTTGAATGAAAAATTCGTTTGCGGATTGAAAACGCGCTAATAGTTTTTGCACGTTAAAAATTGAAGAATAAAGTGCTTCTTATATTCACGTGAAATCTTTCACAGCTTTTCAGTTTTTTCTGTTGGATCTTGGATGCCGTGTAGAACAAATGCGATTTATTTTTTTAAGATTTTAGGATACCACTCATCTGTTATTCTCGAAATCAACTTGATGTTACGACTTCATGTGTCATCAATATTCTCTCGCGAAGCAGAATTTTTTTGCGTTACCTCGGCCGCAAGAGAAGGACACTTGTGGATACAGTACAGTATAAAGTAAATCAGTGACATTCTGCAATTTTAAGTTGAGCTTAATTTCTTTGACGCTAGCTCAAAAGCTCCTTTTCTAACGGCGCTTTTCGGTTGCGTACCACATTGCTTCAGGTCAATGAGAAAAATTTTCTCGGTCGGGTAAAGACCTGGCTCATGTGTTGATTTCGCTTCGTCACGCTTTATGATATGCCTGCCCAGCTTAAAAGGAATGATTGGCACTCTGGTTTGTTTTTGCGTTTTTTGGAGCGAAAAAATTTTTCATGCTTGATCTGATGTTGCGTTTTCTTCACTGCCCTCATTTCCTATAAGCCTTGACAATTCAGATTTTCTCTTACTTACGCAAGTTAAAAAAAAAGAGTACCCTAGGAAATTTATTACGTTTTTTTTCGGAATGCACAGATTGTGTCATGGGTTTTCTTTAAAGATACCGGAAGTTTCATCTGTGACTCAGGTCGATTGAAATACAGAACGTACTGATTAAAAAACCATGTGCAAGACTATCTTTAATTGCGTAAATTGTTTCTACCTGTCGCAGCAATAGTAAGCGAAATAAAGATAAAAACCCGAAAAAAGTAAACTCTAAAATTGAGATTGTATGTTTTTAAAATGGCTTGCAATGAAATTCTGCTGCACCAATATTATTGAAAGCTAGAACAACACAGTGTTTGAGGAGAAGCGTAAGCGTATTATGTACAGCAGAATCTCGTCATAACTAATTATTGGTCACAACGAAGTCGTTTTTCAGGTCCTTGTCCAATAGTAAATAAATGCAAGTATAATTGCTCTATAACGAGTTTATAGTAACGACAAAAGTTTTTTTTTCTGGCTCAAATCGCTTCGTTGAAACGAGATTTTATTGTTTTAGGAAAATGTCTTCGTCGGTTTCGGTTGAACCAGTGAATTTCTGTTTGAAAACGCATGAACACATTCTTGTGCGTGTCGAGATAAATTCGAAAGGCTTCTTAATTTAGCTTGAAAAAGAATGAAATCGTGTTGCGGTTCTTGCTATAGGTGGTAATTTTCTCTCGGTTTCGTAGTGTGTAATTTGTCACCCCAAAAAGGGGGGTGTAACTTTTCGGGCTGTTTTTCGTGTCGGCTGTGTCGTGGTTTTCCCTTTTCAGCCTTCCTCTGTCATTATTTGTCGCATCATGGCATTTTGCGACGTTTGAGAAAGTTGCAGCTGTGGTTTTTCTCGTCACGCATATCCAGCTGAAAAACGGGGTTATTCATCTTATGGGTCACCTCATTTGAAAAAGAATAGTTTTGTTTGATTCGGGTGTTTCTATAAAGACGCGTTGCGTTAATGTCTCGCTCTTGAGGAATATTCGGAAACGTTTCGTGGGAAATTTGATGCTTGCTAGTATGAATTTAAGCGATAAAAAGAAGCAAGCTAGTCTGTGAAAGTGGGCGACAAAAGTGTGGATAGACCCGATTTCATTTGCCGCGGAAATCTGTGCAGGAAAAGCGCGTCAGCTTTTCAATGTCTTGAATGCGGCTTCTGTTGTTCTGAAAAACTCGGTCACACCGGATCTTTCATCGTGATGAGAAGTTTTTTCCCCTGAATGTTTTCCGAAAGGATGATGGAACGCGTCCAAGGGATGGTTTCAAAGTTTTGATGATTATCTTGAAACGGAGCTCTTTGAGTCCCCCAATTTTTTTAAATTTATAAAGAAATTTTTTCATATAATGTACAGTATGAAAAGGGGGAAAGAAAGAATCACAGAAATTGTAATTCATGATATTCTGGGTCTTAAATTGCATTTTGAATGAGTTGACGAGGCAGCTTAACTTGGAGGCAAGGGTTTATCTGCCCGATCAGATGTTCACTTCTTTTTAAAACACATCAATTAAAATTGCATTCCTTTTCTCTTTTTTTGTATCAATAAAATAAAATCAAGAAAGCCCCCCCCCCCCCCGGAAAATTATAGGTATTGGCGTTTGAGGAAAATCCTTCAAAGTTACGGGCATTTTAAATGTATGAGGGAATTCGACATTCGAAAGTAATTGAATTGGGAAGGTTCGAGTTTATTCGAAGCCAGCTTCACACAAAATGTTTACTGGCCCTTTCTTGTTTTGTTTGTATTCTTTAGAAAGAGGTTGACACAACTTATGAATGAACCCCTCGTATTCGGACCTTCTTTTTTTTCGATGGATCGGTTTTTCCGAAAACTCACACTCGTCATGCTTTCCAGGGTTTCTAGGATCTGATTTTCCGTGACTCGTGAAGAAGCGCTGCCAAAGTTCAATGAAACATTTCCACCTGATACTGGACTATTGAAAAAAATAAATGCAATAAAGAAGGAAAGCAATGGGACAAGACAAAGCTTTGCATCACTTGTTCATCGGCTGCTATCTGACCTTGAAAGCCACGTCGGAAGCCGTCATCCACCACAGGGAAACCCACGTCAGGATCGTGAGCGAAACTGAATCCAACTGCACTGAGGTGTCGCTCGACGGCTGCACGAAATCCGTCGCTCGTCGGTTCCGAATCCCGTTCGACGCACATGTCCGTTGGCACGCGCGAGCTGCGATCCGTCACGTGCTCACTTTGCTGTCGCTTTTGTCACTGGCGTCGGCGTCGATTCACGACGCCTACGTCACGGCGAGTGGACGACCCATCGATGTGAGGATATAACGGAACATGCTTCGTAATAAAATTTTTTATTTTTTTTTATTTTCCCAGATGAAATTGTTTCAAGAGCCGCGTTCGTTTTGCAGAATTCGTAAATTGAGTGCCCTGAGTTGCGGGCGTAATTTGTTTTTTCTTGGACCCTGTCATGATGTGGTATCATTTTTTCCCCATGGACTTCAATGGGAACGTATTCAGTTGATAACTGTTCATCAAAATTTAGGAAAACTCCTCCAAAAATTTGAATTTTTTTCTCTACTTCATTATACAGAAAATAACTTCGCAGAAGAAAACCCCGTTTAATCTGATTTTTTGGTATGAGAAGAAGCCCAAAAAGCAAAGAACGATCACAAATTTTCATTTTAACTGTGCACAGATGATGGGAAGAACTCTGAAAAAAAGGAACACAAAATTACCCTGTTTTGAATTATGAATTAGAGTACTGTACATTTTAAATAAAATGTATTAATTTGTGCGAAGATCAATATCTCAATTTCTTCAAGAGATTTCACAATTTTGTATTTTGCAAAATTGTGCAATTTTGCATTTTTCTACAGATATTTTGAAGAATTTCCGTATCTTGAGATATTGTCCACGTGTCAGGGCATGTTTTTCGATTAATTTTTTTTATTGTAGGTCAGGTCAGGCAATTGGAAAGTACCGTTTTTTTTAATGTACCTTATTTACTCGAATACCACGCGCCCTTGAGGAAGATGAACGCCAGGATTTTTCAGTCACAAATTTTTACGAGGATGTATCTCCAAGTGAGACGTGCACCCCATTTTTAGTGAGTCTAATAGGACAGTATTTCGAAAATGAAAACACCCGACATTTTCTTCAGACATAACTTGTCCAATTTTTGTTATTAAGGTAAGTTTTTCTGTTGAGATTGGTCCAACATTTTCGGTTCAAATCAAATATCATGCACACCTAAACTTTGACATTTTTTTTACGTGCCTGTGACACGCAGCCTTTGTTTCCTTTAAATTTTGAGAAAAAAAGGTGCGCGTGGTACTTGAGTAAATACGGTAATTCAGTTTGTTATACATCAAGGTTAGGTTGTTTTTATCTAGGTTACGTTAATATTGATTAGAGATGGGCTTAGTACGGTATTAATTTGGCAAGCTCGAAAACTAGGGGAACAGTATAGCAGAGGTAAAAAAAGCCCTTTTTTGTGCATTAAAATTTTTTTTATTCTGTTATTGGCAGGTATACGGAGCAGTGTCGTCGGCGCAGTGCGCAGTTTTCGCTGCAGGCGAAATCATCGCACGCGCTCGGAAAGACAACGTTCTGTGGGCCGCATTCCCGTCGTTCCTCGTCGGCATTTCCGTGTTGTGCGAGTCGACGTTTGCTCCGATGCTGGAAAGCCTGGCGCTGGTTTTGCTAGCCACCACTCTTCTCGGCGGCGGAGTGACGTTGCTGGCCCAGTCCCAGCTGCACTCGACGGCCCGTCTCTTGACGAGTGGCGCCGGTCACTGGAGCATCGTCATGGCGGTGCTGTTGTACGTGGAGAACCCCGCGAGCGTCTGGCTGGGTTCCATTGGGTTCAACGACGCCTTGCGGTGGATCAACTTTAGTTTCGTGATAACGCTGGGACTCACTTATGCCGGGTTTGCTGCCATTTTCTGCTTGATCCCTCCCGAGAAAACGGCTTTGGCGTGAAATTGCAGTACTGTCGTTATTTATTAAATTTTGTTTTTTGTTTGAGGAAGTGTCTGAAAACATCTCATCGCCTTCCTCAACGAAGCTTTAAAACTGTTCAATGAATGTTGTTCGGGCGGAAATTTGTATCAACAGGAGAAGCTCTTGTGTTTTTTTCTCTTCCGAATTTTGACACGAACCTCTGCCCCTGAGCTGACATTAGGCAGCTATTTTTTTTTTGAATGCGTGCTTCCAGAATTTTTGCGAACATTTTGCAAAGCGTTGGCAATGTTGTGACGTCATCGAGAAATATGTGTTTGACGCTTTTGTCAGTAAATGCCATGAAGGCTGTAAAGGACTGAGAATGTTTGGAAGGTTTTATTTTGCGTTATCTCATTACGTTGAATGACCTTTGTTTTTTTTTCAAGGTTTGCGAATTACTGATGTGTGATGGGTTAGAAAAATTTACATCAGGTGTATTACGTTTTCAAACTGCATTACTGCATTGTATTTTTAAGAGGTGAGAAGTTGGAGATTTGGATGTTTCTGTGCAATTATGGAAAGCATTTTATCGATGAAGGTCAGACAACATTGTGCATTCGTGATTTTTAGCGTTTTTCTCCTTTTACCAAACTCTGTATTTCCAGTTTTTTAATCCTTACTTAGGGATTTGGAAGAAAATTCGCTAGAAATGGAATGAATGTCAGTGTAAAAGAGCCCTATTGAAAATTATCAACTACATGGCCCAAGGCGTTTACCTTAAGTATAGAAAATCTGACCATTCTAATGTAAATTTTTTGTCGTATTAATGAACTTGACCACATCTTAGCCTCTGATGCAGGTGAGGTTTGACTTGTTGCCTTGTTCATGGGTTAATCTGGATTTCACCAAAATTGTTGTACTGTACCTGTACTGCACAAACAGTGATGGTGAGAATATTAAAGACTCTTTTTATGCAAGTCAAATCAGTCAAATGGACTACTGTAAGTGGAACTTCAAGGGACCAGCAAAAAATTGAGTTGACAGGGTTCTGACTCTGAGTGATGGAAAACAGTAGGTTTTTGTATGGGAAATTAAGAATACTTACAGGAAACATTTTAATCCTTGATATTCTAGGCTTTGAATTGCTTCATGAATGAGTTGACAGAACAATGCTGAATTGGGAGGCAACAGTTCCTTTGTCCAATTAGTCTTCCATTTATTCCTTTCAAAATACAGTACATGGTTACATTGTTATGCCTTTTCTCATTCCTGTGTCAATAAATAAGATGATACACTTTCAATTAAGAGGTCACCAGAAAATTCAATTTAAGGCAATTCTGACTCTGGGCGAGGAAAGCAAGTACAGTATGTTTTTGTTGGGGGAATACGGAACACTTACAAGAAACTGTGATTGTTGATATTCTAGACCTTTAATTGCTTCATGAATGAGTTGACAGGACAATGCTGAAATGGGAGGCAAGGGTTCCTTTGTTCAATTGGTCTTTTATTCATTCCTTTCAAAATACAGCAGTACAGTATGTGGTTACATTTTTATGTCTTTCTCATTCCTTGTGTCAATCAGGTGATACAGTACTTATTCAAAGGGTCTCCAGAAAATTTGAGTTGTGGGTGTTTGAGACAGATACTCTTCCAGTGTGGGAGATTTTTAATGCATTGTGCCTAAGGGAATTTAGGCAAGGACTGGAAAATGATTGAAGTTGGGAGATACAGTACAGCATTCCACTTTGGGAGGTTCAAATCATTGAGTTTGAATGAGATATTATTGTGAATGTCACTTTTTGTATAGGGCAATGCATTTTCTTGGCATGTCACGCGATGTGTCAATTGGACTGCTGGAGAGATTTTGTTCTGAGCACTAATGCAGAACGACCCATCTTGGCATATGGTAAGTGGTTGAAATTTGTTTAAGATACTCCCGCAATAAGTGGCTTTCATCACATTGACCTTGAAACTTTGATATCTCCTGGAAATAGTTTACAGTAATTTCGTGGGTCACTGAAATACAGTATGTGCTTATTTATTCTAAACCAAGTGTATGGACTATCAAGTAGAAGTTTTAAGATTTTGAAAATATTGGCAGTATTTGATTTGGCTGCAACCGGGGTCAATTTCACCCTATTGTAAAGTTTGGGTTATTTCACAAACATCCATACTTGAAACATTTTAAGGACTCGGGAGTTCTCAATCTTGCCAGAATTTTTTTCAAGTGTAAAAATATTGGAATATTTCAAGGATTGTCAAATTTTTTGAAGTAGCGATGGACTTTGGGATCAAGTGATTGAGTTACTAATTCCGGAAATTTCTGATTGTTCCAATAAAGACATTTTGTGGACCTTGCAGGTTTGAGGAAACTCTCTTCCAAGGTTTTGTGAGAACTGGGGTGACACTATTGATTCCCAGGGACCAAAACTTGTCTTCTTCAATTTATTTGTGGAATAAATAAGATTTGTTCTGCGGTTTAGTTCAAATCTTTTAAATTTTTGACACCAAGTAACTCATTGCAGGTGAAGGATGGAATGAGGCTCATGCTGTGGAGTGTATATCCAGAGAACCTTTGAAGGACATATGACCTACAGTATTTATGATGTGTGTGTGATTTTGCAGCCCCCCCCCCAGCAAATAATTTACCCGTATTTCCACCCGTCAAAGACCCGTCATATGCGGGTAGCAGCCACCCGTTTTGGGAAACGGGTACTGGGTCGAAAAAAAATGGGTGATCACCCGTAGAACCACCCGTTTTGGCAGATGGGTGTTTGTATGGGTGAATGTGCTGAGCACCCGTTTTCTCCAAACGCCTGCTTTGTTAAGGCTAAGAGAGATTCAGCCGTCATATGCGGGTGAATCACCCGTTTTTTGAAAAACGGGTGAAAAATAAACACCACACGCCATTTATACAGCTGTATAAAGGGGGCGCGCCGTTTTTACAGCTGTATAAAGGGGGCGCGC